AACTGGCGGTCAGTTTCAGCAGCGGCTGAATCTGGACGCCAGTTCCGACTTACATACAGATTCAACTTAAGAACAAACCTACAGTCCCTATCTTGTACGTAACCCGGGACTGCCTGTAATATATCCAATCAATTTCTCTTTGCTGGAAACAAACAAGGTCCCTAATTACTATTTCAAATGTTGCTGGGATTCATTTTGAAAAACAATAATAGGAGAGGAAACATGCCTCTGCACTAATTTGTATTACTTTAAAAAAGTGATCTTCAGATATAGGAGTATTTCATCTACTCACAAGGAGCAGAGAGAGAGAGCATTCAACCTAGAGCTTTGTCAAAAAATGTCTGAAGAAATGTCTATGGATCAAAACCATGGAGTGTTGATTTGGATAAAAATTTAATTTGGAAAAAAAAATTAAACCAAGCATTTTGATAAAGCTGGAACATTCCATTTCAAAATTAGAGAAATGTATTTTGTTTTATATGTATTTTTTTATTCTTGTAAAATGGTATAGCAATTATATTACAAAATGATCAGTCAGAATATCAGAAATAAGCAAATCAAATACCAATTTCAAAATTACCAATCGTCATTTCATATAATTTTAAATACTTGTAGTGTGTCTGTGTGTGTGAGGGGAAAGTGGGTTAAAGGTGAAGCGAATCCTGTTTGGAAACAGCCACTTCTCAGGGTTTGCCTCAGACACTGCCAGGGCACTGGGAAGAGCAGCCCTATTAAATCAGTGGCAGCTGACCTGCGGGGGCCACAGTGCACAGGAGTACCAGGGCTTTTTAAAGCTGTGAGTCAGCGACCAGGAGCAGCAAACAGGGAGTTTTGAGAGGGGGAGGTTAGAAGGTGCTAGTGACTTCTGACTTTCTTTAAACATAACTTTTATAATAATCTATATTCCAGACATTTAAAAAGAAGCTCAGTTTATAATTAAACTTATTCATAAGAAAAATGGAGACAGAAGCCCAGCAGCAGAGTGGGGGCTATCCTGTTTATTGCATCGAGTGTAACATGTATGATTACCTGCCCTGTGGGCGGGTGGCGTATGTGTGCACCCATTGCAAGGAGCTCCTGACCCTCAGAGACCGAGTTCGGGCTTTGGAGGCCAGGGTGGCTGAACTGGAGGAACTAAGGGAGGCAGAGAGCTATGTTGATGAGACTTTCCGGGACACCATAGTACTGTCCCACCTCCAGTCTGAGAGCCCCAGTGCTCTTAAGGAGGATGAAAGGCTCAGGGAAGCAAAGCATTCAACGGGAACAGAGGGAAACCATCCCATAGTTGGGACCCTCCTTCCAGAGGATGTTGCAGAATCCTCTCACACTAGGGATACCTCTGAGGGGGAAGGAACGCCAGTTGTTAAGAAGAGGCAGGTGTTAGTAGTGGGTGATTCAATCATTAGAAACATAGATAGTTGGGTTTGTGATGACCGGAAGAATCGTATGGTGACTTGCCTGCCTGGTGCGAAGGTTGCGGATCTCTCGAGGCATCTAGACAGACTTATGTATAGTGCTGGGGAGGAGCCGGTGGTCGTGGTACATATAGGTACCAATGATGTAGGAAAGGGTAGGAGAGATGTCCTGGAGGCCAAATTTAGGTTGCTAGGAAAGAGAGTGAAATCGAGGAGCTGTATGGTGGCATTCTCAAAAATGCTTCCAGTTCTGCGTGCATGGCCAGGTAGGCAGGCAGAGCTTCAGAGTCTCAATGCGTGGATGAGACGATAGTGTAGGGATGAGGGGTTTAGATTTATTAGGAACTGGGGATACTTTTGGGAGAGGGGAGCCTATACAAGAATGATGGGCTCCACCCAAACCAGAGTGGAACCAGACTGCTGGCACTGAACATTAAAAAGGCTGTAGAGCAGTTTTTTAACTAGGAGATGGGAGAAAACCAATTGGTGTGGAGAAGCACGTAAATTCTCCTCTTAGAGGAGAATCCATTGATAGAGATTCTCTAGGCTGTAGTCAGAAAGAGAGGAGGGGAGAGGACAAACAAGGGGCCAGAGCAGACAAACAACCACATACAAAGGAATCTAATACATCAGGAAAGGGCAGACAAATAAACAGTGGCAAATTTTTAAAGTGCTTCTACACAAATGCTAGAATAAAATGGGTGAACTAGAGTCCCTAGTTTTAAGGGAGGATATTGATATAATAGGCAATGAGGACAATCAATGGGACACAGTTGTACCATGATACAAAATATATCAGAAGGACAGACCAGGCTGTGCTCATGGGGGAGTAGCACTATACGTGAAAAAAAATGTAGAATCAAATTAAGTAAAAATTTTAAATTTGTTCCACAGAATCACTATGGACAGTAATTCCCTGCTCCAATAATAAGAATATAGCAGTAGGGATATATTATCGACCACCTGACCAGGACAGTGATAGTGACATTGAAATGCTGAGGGAGATTAGAGAGGCTACCAAAACAAAAAACTCTATAATAATGGGGGATTTCAATTATCCCCATATTGACTGGGTACATGTCACCTCAGGAAGAGATGCAGAAATACAATTTCTCAATGGCTTGAATGACTGCTTTTTGGAGCAGCTGGTACAGGAGCCCACAAGGGGAAAGGCAATTCTCGATTTAGTCCTGAGTGGAGCGCAGGATCAGATCCAGGAGGTAACCATTACAGGACTGCTTGGGAATAGTGACCATAATGTAATAACATTTAACATTCCTGTGGTGGGAAGAACACCTCAGCAGTCCAGCACTCCGGCATTTAATTTCAAAAAGGGGAATTACATAAAAATGAGGAGGTTAGTTAAACAGAAATTAAAAGGCAAGCGACAAGAGCCAAATC